AAGGGGGCAAGGAGCTGGATGCTCGAGGGGGTCGGGGCTGGTGGGGGCAACATCAGCAGAGATCTCAGTAATAGAAAAGGGTTTTAACCTTAATGTTGGAGCCAAAACCCTGTTAGAGGCCAAGTAATCCCCCATGCGCTGCTCTCATATGAGCAGGCTGATATTTCTTTCTCTTCTCTCTTTGAGTCGCTTGTGAAAGGCAGTGAGACTTGTGTGGCATTGATTCAGACCAGGCCAGGCTAATGGTGGCTATGGGCTGGGGTGGGCTCACACAGCCAATAGAAAGTTAGGTATGTTTTTGTTTAGCTAATGGAAAAATCCACCATATTCACATTTTCCTGCTGTTATCAACAGTTAGTATTTAACCATTTCCAAGCTAAAATTCTTGTTTGATATTGTTATTGGAGACGATGGGAAATTCTGAAATAATGATGCACATTTTGAACACATTTAACTCTGTAAATAAATCAACACATCACCATTAACTGTTGTGTTGATTTGATAACATCCAAAATGTTAATAAGGTCAGTGAGGTGAATTTTACATCCAGGCTTTAAAACTAAGTGGTTGAATATTAATGTTAGCTGTTGTCTAATTGTGGTCTAATCATAGTTAATGAGCTATGAAATTTGCTGTTTAACCTTGAAACATGGTCGAATGACCCTCCAGATCCTAACGATCCATCGTCTTTTCAGTTGCTGATCAGTCAGGAAGCAGTGAAATGAAAACACTTTGTCAGATTTCCCTTGGATCACAAGAAAAAAGACCAGAGATGAAGTCGATAGGAGTTTTGCTGAGGGAAATATAGCAATGCAACAAATACAAACTAATAGTAAGGCTGTCACCTTTTCCAAAGTTTGAATGAATTTGACATATCAGACAACTCCTTTTAATGTATTTGAATGCACGTCCGCAGTCAGAGGACGTCTAACAGGCAACATTTGTTTTCTCTTTGGTACAGAATATGAGTACGAATCATGCACCTCCTTCCACACTGTATATTTTGAATTCCGACAGTTTTACAGTTTGAATATGAACTACATCCCCCCCAACTTTACATGAAATTTGAATTTCAGTTAAAAAGGGAAAGCCGTAATGGATGGATGGATCTGCACAACTTCCGCTACCTACAACATTAGGTTACTGGATCAAAGTGTTTTTTACACTGTACAAAGTATTAATACTTCCACTTAAGTAAAACATCATATAATTATTTTCCACCACTGCAGATGCAGAATGAACCATTTAGACAAAAAGGTCAATTGGTGTTAAAATAACTTGGTGAAATTACTCTTAACAATCAAAATTCCCTGCAAATGAAGAAAAAAGATACACTTAAAATCGATAAATGTTGCCTTGTATCTAACATAAGCACTTAAAAGTCCATGAATTGAGGGACGCAGATCTAATCATTTGGCTCAAGTATTTTAAATATCTTGAAAAAAAAATTAACAGTGAATAGGCTCGGGCACTTCGGGTAAAATATGCTAATTAACACACTTGAAATTTCCCATATGAAATCTATCTACACCAAGACAATGAGAAAATAATTACAACAGAGGTAGAATTACAATGGCCATTTTAATCAACCCCTACACTAGCATTTCACCCTATTTATACAGTTTTTGATTCCATGACCCACTGGTAAGTAATCACTTGAAAATTATGGCTCAGTTTATAATAGGTCTACGCTTTAGACACATTATTTCCACAGAGACAGGGCTCGGAGGATTACAATAAAGATATGAATCTTGCATAACAACAATCACCACCCAGTTCCTATAGCTGAACAAAAACTCATCCCGGGTTAAAAATGTCTTAAAGTCCTGAAGTAACCTGAGGAACAGTGTGACAGGCTAGTGATGTTTATTCAACGGCTGATGGTGAAAATGATGAAGAGGCTCTTGCCCTTCGTTTTATGTTAGTTCAACTCCGCAAACTGTCTCCTATCATAACACAACAGTTTTGTATATGAATCTTAATTGTAGCACCGTCAAGAAGTCGCATGTTGCAAGACAGGTGTAAGTATGAGAGACTCTCCCATTAAACAATCCCTTTTACTGCGTTTATTAGGGGTCACAAATTCACTTCTGAAAGGTCAACTCTGCACACAGGTAATAACCTTGAAGGTGTGCCACTAAAGAGCCCAATCAGGGATTCACACAAAGGTCAGACTAATGTCTTCCTCTTAAAAAAAGAGAGTCATGTTATTTGACCTTCCTTTTTCACTTCAGAATTTCTCTGAGATAAAGAAAAAAACAGAGCTGTTCTTTGGAAGCTGTAAGGTCATCTTTATCAACCATAGAGGCATTTAAAAAAGAAAAAGTATTTGACAATCCGGTGAATAATGTGACGATTAAACTCCTAAAACTGGTCCTGGGTGGGAGCAATTTATTTCAAGGCAGGGACTTGGAAAGCCGAGGCCCTGTTTGCAGGAGATATCAGCTGCTTGAAAACCCCAAACGGTCTCTTGAGGAATGTCTGTCTCCCCCACAAGATTCTCCCTCCTCCTCCCGCAGGACGGCAGAGCAACAGAGGAACCGTTCATTGACAAAAGCCTAACAGGAAGGGCAGGATTGTACTTTTTTTTCTTTAACAAGTCACAGTAGTTGACAGTCCTGTGAGAAACAACAATTTTTTAGCAACTACATGGACATCTGAACTAAAAACCATGTCAGGCATTTCAGCTTTTTAGGTCACAAATTATTATTTTTTGCATAAGCTTGGCAAGAATAAGTTGCTGCTCGGCAAAGACCCGTTTTAAATTACTGTGGAACTGCTGCCATGTTTACTTTCCTGTTTTAAAAAGGGACAACTTGTCAAAACAATGCTGTCATAAATGAAATAGAATCTTTGCTGCTAGTACAACATTACAATAGGCTTCCTCTTGTTTTTGAAAAGTCACCGTCCACATTGTGGACACAAGCTGTACATCAGACAGCTTGGGGGGGAAAAACAGGATGTAGGCAAGCAGATGAGTTCTTATTGAATTCCTGTTTCTGTTTCGAAGAGGCCTCTCAATTACCCGACTAGTCCACTCCGCAAACAAAACCACAGCGAGGTTGCTTGTCGACTGGCTAAATGTCGAACTGTCTACAAAGTAAAAGCACACTGTTCATTTTATCACTGCACTGTTTTATATCAAGCTGTATTACAGAGATTTTACTTTGAAAGCTTGAAGATTGTGTCAATTGCATTGCAGACCTCTGAAATTGGCTAAATGCAATGCCTATTCCAAATATTCCAGCAGGCAGGTTTAAAACAGGCACTGCACTAGTTTAATATACTGTAAATACATAAGTCAACAAACTATATAACATAGCTCTAGTCTTCTTTGGACATTTTAATAAAGAGTATTTCCATACAATATCTTTAACTTATGTGACTGTAAATGTAAGAATTTCCAACTTTGATTTAACCACACACAGACACAGGTACACAAAACTTTAACAAAGATTATCACTGCACAAATGTGTGGTGTTGTTTTTATTGAACATGACTATTTTATGTTCATGTTACTCCATCAAAAAGACGCATCTTTCCCCTAAAAATTCCCTTTACACATATTCTGTGTGTGTGCGCATATGTGCCAGCGATATGTGCAGCATATGCGCTAGTGTGGGGGCTTTTGGGGTGAAGGGGGGTTGCCTTCAATTACAACGCAAAACTGTTGTCACAGGGGCTTACTGTATCTGCTGAGATGAAAGAAAACGCACACCTCCCTCCAGAAGTGCATTACTGCACATACCTGCCAAGCTAAAGAGACTTCTTGACAGAAAATCTTCTTTTTTTTTCTTCTTGCAACTGAATCCCTTTTCCTCGCTGCTTTCGTAAACAAGCCACTGGCAAGTCATTAAGCTTAATACCAAAAATAAAATAAAAAAGCCAGGAAAAAGCGCCCTGGAAAAGTTAACAACCTAGAAACAAAAGAACTGTTGTGTCTTATGCAAACACAATCCGTATTATAGCCAGGCACTTACATGGATGGAAGCAATCAGCTGCTATTAGCCTCTGCTCACACA